CCGGGAGAGGGGCAGGGGGGAAGCCCGAGGCAGCTGCAGCCCGGGAGAGCCCCAGGCAGGCCGAGCCCCCCGCGGTGGGAGAGCTGCGGGGCTTGTTTGCAAACCTGCCGGGGAAGGAGTCGCAGATCGGAGCGTAAGAGGGGGCAGACCACAGGCCTCCCCGCCAGCGGCCAGTGGAGGCTGGAAGGGAGAGGGAGCTGGGGCTGAGCAGTGTTTCCCCAACCCCCCTGCTACTCTCTCACTTGCAGCTCCAGCACTTCAGGTCCAGGAGGCTGTGGGGCAGAGGCTGTCCCCTCGCACCCAAGCTCTGCAGCCACCGATGCCCCCTTTCCTCCAAGCACCGTCCAGTCCCTCAGTGAATCCGGCTACGCTGTTGGCTTCCACCACAGCTGGTGGCTGCGAGCTCCGCGCTTTCATAGATTTCACAGACATTAGGGCTGGAAGGGACCTCGTAAGGTCATCGGGTCTAGCCCCCTGCCCAAGGGGCAGGAAGTCAGCTGGGGTCAAAGGATCCTAGCAAGGTAAACGTCCAAACGTTTCTTGAAAGTGTCCAGAGTAGGTGCTTGCACCACTTTGGAGGGGAGTTTGTTCCAGGCCCTGGCTCAGACAGTAAAGAAGTTTTTCCTTATGTCCAGCCTAAAATGGTCTTGCAGGAGTTTGTGATCACTGGACCTGGTCATCCCCTGGGGTGCTCTGGTGAACAGGCGTTCCCCCAGATCCTGATGCACACCCCTGATGTACTTATAGGCTGCCACCAAGTTGGCCCTGAGCCTGCGCTTCTCCAAGCTGAAGGGTCCCATGGCTCGCAGCCTCTCTTCATAAGGCCTGTTCTCTTGCCCTCTGATCAAGCGCGTGGCTCTCTGGACTCTTTCAAGCTTCTCCAGATCCTTCCTAAATTGTGAAGCCCAGAATTGGATGCAGTACTCCAGCTGCGGCCTCACCAAGGCCGAGTACAGTGCAAGGATGACATCCTGGGTATTGCTCGAGATGCATCGGTAGATGCAAGCCAGGGTTTTATTTGCTTTGCCAGCTGCAGTATCACATTGGTGGCTCATATTCATCATATGGTCAATCATGACCCCCTAGTTTTTTTTGGTCATGGTGATAGCAAGTGTTGCATTGCTGAGCCTGTGAGTGTGATGTGGGTTTTTATGCCCGAGGTGGAGCACCTTGCATTTCTCCATATTGAATGCCATCAGGTTTTCATCCGCCCACCTTGCAAGCCTATCAAGATCGACCTGGATCACCAGCCTATTCTTAAGTGTGGACACTCTCCCCCAAAGTCTGGTGTTGTTACCGAACTTGGCCAGTCCGATTTTGACACCAATGTCCAGATTGTTTATGAAGACATTAAAAAGTACAGGTCCAAGAACGGAGACTTGGGGGACACCACTAGTCACCGAGTGCCATGTTGATTCAGTTCTGTCAACTACCACTCTCTGGGTCCAACCTCAGAGCCAGTTCTCCAGCCATCGGACTGTGGATTAATCGAGGCTGCAGTTGCCCAATTTTTCCAGGAGGACATCATGGGACACCAGGTCAAAGGCTTTTTTAAAGTCCAAATATATGACATCAACCTCTTCCCTCTTGTCCAGGTGATATGTCACCTGGTCATAGAAGATAATGATATTGGTCAGGCAAGACCTACCCGCAACAAACCCGTGTTGGTTGTCCCTCAGGATGTTGCCTTCTGTTAGCCTGTCAAGAATGGTTTCTTTGATAATTTTTTCCAAAATCTTCCCAGGAATTGAGGTCAAACAGGGATTGGCCTGTATTTTTCTGGGTCTTCTTTCCTCCCTTTCTTGAAGATGGGCACCACACTGACCCTCTTCCAATCTTCAGGTACTTTGCCCAAGCTCCACGAGTTCTTGAATATCCTTGCCAGTGATCGCGGTATGATGTCTGCCAGTTCTTTTAGCACTCCTGGGTGCAACCTATCCAGACCAGCTGATTTATGGGGGTCCAGCCTCTCAAGATGTTCCCTCACAAGATCCACGCCAATGGTGGGCATATATTCATCTTCACCCCTGTCATCCTGCATTGTGTTAGGCAGGGTGGTCCCTTTGGGCTAGACGCTGCGGGAAAAAGAACATCCTTTTGTTGGTTTTAAACTGACCGACTCCTGTCATGTTGTGACTCCGCATTCTGGGGTTGAGAGAGAGTCAATAAGAAGTGCCTATTGGCTTTCTCTTTGCCATTTACTATTTTTGTAAACCCCATACCCCCCACATCTTTTTTCTAAACTGAGCAGGCTTGGCCTTTCAGAGGAAAGCCCCTCCATGCCACTGATCATCCTTGTTGCTCTTCTCTGACCCTCTTTAGCTCTATATCTTTTTTTGAGGTGTGGGGATCAGAACTGGGCACCGTATCCAAGGTGTGGACACACCATGGGTTTAGAAAGGGGCATCACGATACTTTTGTCATGTCAAACGAGGCTGGCGGGGCTTGGGTTTGCCTCTCCTCCTTGCCCTTGTGTTTGCTGGCTTGTTGACCGATTCGCCTCCCAGGTGAGGAGGGGGAAGACAGATTCCTTCTATCTAGGGGTCGCATTGTTCCAACACAGCAGGCTTTGGAATTGCACAGCAGCATGCAAGGAGCTGCACAACTCCACCCCGACCCCCCCCCCGCCACACCCTGCTCATACAGATGGGGAAAACTGAGGCAGGAGGGATCAAGCGCCACTCACTACAGCACAGGCAGCTCTTCCCACCACCTGCAAAACCCCCTCCAGCTCTTTGCTGGAAGCACTGGTCACCTGAAGGATTGGAGGCTTCCTGAACCTGCCATGTGGCAAGTCAGGGGCAAAGCCAGGAGCAGTTACCCCAATCCACTGCCCCCAAGGTCCCCAAATCAGTGGTCCTTTGTGCCAATGCCACTGTAGTTAGAAGTATCCTTAGATACACTGCAGCAGCCAGGGCTTGTCAGTTGAGGCACATTTTCAAACCATTCGTTCATTCTCCCCTCTCCGCAGGCAGGAGTAAGGGGGACTGATTGTCTCATCCCACACTGCAGGAATAGGCCCCTCTTCCCCACTCCAAAGACATCAGTCCTTGCCATGCCTGCAAGATCTATACAGTTCTGCCACACAGGCCCACTGGACTCTGCTGGTCACCAAAGACTGACCCCTCTCAAGTCCAACTCATACTGGAACAGACTTGTAGGCCACTGAGCCCAGAAAGGCAAAGGGGAAGGAAGCTCAAGTGATACAGCCCCAGGCTAGTCTAGCAGGATAGAGCCCTGGTGCTACAAAGGTCACCTAAGGTCCTTCTAACTCTCTGACACTATGAGTTTATAGCCAGGAGGGCAATCTCTAAGCCTTGAGAGCTTCAGGCTAAAAGGGAAAACCCACTCACTTTGCCATTTGATTGGCTGCATTTTTTTTTCCAACAGGGCATGTGTTACTTTTATAGTAGCTGCAGTGATAGACGTGCTCAAAACCAGAGAAATGAAGCATGCTGCAAATATGGTCATCTCTAGAAGACTGTTCAGTCAGCCATATCACAAACTGAGGGGGCTTGGGCATGGTCTTAGAAGTTTTCCTGACCCTCTAGGCCACTAACAACAACCATCGAAGTGAGCCCCAGGCAGAAGGATGGTGGATTCAAGCCAGAATCTGACTCTGGTAGCTCCCAAGTCTGAATAAAGCGGTATAGAAACCTCTAAAGGAAGAGACCTCTCATACATGCCAAGAATAGCACTGAGCACTATCGTGAGTGTTAAGTTCCAAATGATCAAAACCATGTAGATTACTGTACAGAAACAGGAAAATAAAACCCAAAAAACAAGCCACATAGCCGCTATGACAAGGAGCTTACAAGCTGAGAGCTACTCAAAGGCAAACTGCACAGATAATGCTGAATCTACAATACAAAAGCTAAAGCCTGGCTGAATTTGTCCTCGGTCACTCACGAAAGGAAGCTGTGAGAAAAGTTCTCTTCTGTAAGCCTGGAGCAAACACCATCCTACACAGATATTAATAAAACAAGAAAGCTCTAGTGAGCATCGGGATGCAGCACATCTTACTTGTACTAAAAGGACTTATTTTCCCACTGTTTCATGGGTATGGTGGTATTAGTAGCTGCTTTATATATAGGCCCTGGGAAAATAAACCCTCACAATCAGCCACTGGCAAGAATATTTGAGCACTCGTGGCACACGGGCCAGGTCCCGAAGGACTGGAAAAGGGCCAATGTGGTCCCTATTTTCAAGAAGGGGAGGAAGGAGGATCCAGGCAACTATAGGCCAGTCAGTCTCACCTCCATCCTTGGCAAAGTCTTTGAAAAGATTATTAAGGCTCATATGTGAGAGTCCAGCACGAAAAATTATGCTGAAGGGAAACCAGCATGGGTTCATAGCAGGTAGATCATGCCTGACTAATCTAGTCTCTTTTTATGACCAGGTTACAAAACACCTAGATGCAGGAGTAGGGGTTGACATCATCTACTTAGACTTCAGGAAGGCCCTCGATATGGTATCCCACCCCATACTGGTGAACAAGTTAAGAGGCTGTGACTTGGATGATTACAGAGTCCGGTGGGTGGCAAGAGGGTCGTACCTAGACAGTGGTGATGGACGGGTCAGTATCGACCTGGAAGGACGTTGGCAGTGGGGTCCTGCAGGGCTTGGTCCTTGATCCGATACTCTTCAATGTCTTCATCAGTGACTTTGACGAGGGAGTGAAGTGTACTCTGTCCAAGTTTGCGGATGATACAAAACTGTGGGGAGAAGTGGACACGCCAGAGGGCAGGGAACAGCTACAAGCAGACCTGGACAGGTTGGACAAATGGGCAGAAAAC